AACTTGAATATATCCTGCGAAAACACTGCAACTGACTGTCAGATTTTCATGAAATTCTCTTTACCTATTCTTCTCTGGCAATAGTTAAACATATTTTATTTTGGGAATTTTATCCCCACTCAGTTCTCGCAGCCCTTAAAATGGTGTTTTCCTTAAATATCTCGAAAACTGGGAGGAAATGGACTCTGAATGAATCACCCCCACTCCATTTTTCATAAAGGAAGCTTCATTAATGTGTTGTATTATTCTATGCGTAAAAGCTTGAGAAAATAATTCAAATCTTAGAATGTTACAGCGTCTTGAACAATCTTCACCAGTTTTTACTTATCGAGGGATGGAGTATTCCTTAAACGTCCCAATCAAAAACAGTACATGATCTGAATTGTCATCACGCGTTGCTTTATGGAACGGAATGGCCTAAGCACCCTGTAGTCATCCACTTGCTATCGTTGGAGAGGAAGTTTGTAATCGAAGTCGAAGGTCAAAACTAGCTCTTAGCTACAATCCACGTTGTGTGCATGTCGGTAATTCGAAAGAGATAACGAGTTTAGCTCAGAAGCAGCACTTCTATGGATAACGAGATTAGCTCATAGGCAGCACTTCTGCGTACTCTTCACCTACTCTAACTGGTAGGAGGTCCTAGGGTTCGAGCCTCGCCGACGGGAAATTTTCGACACTGGCCAATGAGGTGGGTTAAATTCAGCCGCTGTCGGAAGGAGAATTGTAGCGGCCGGTTGCTTTGATTGGCTGTTTGCCGACGTTTCTCCGATCACCATCAGGCAAATCCCAGAGTAGTATCCTAACAATCTCATCACGGACCGCGCGCGATCTTTCCTTCTTGTTCATTGACTTTGTATAACACCCCTCATCCTCACCCCTTGTGTAACACTAGCACTTCCATGGCATTACTCCAACACACATGTCGTAAGACCGGTCGGGAGCTTAGAGATTGTCCCGGGAGGGAAGTCACCTGTAAACCGATAAACCAACGTGCAGGTTGGCGTTGGACATCACCATACAGCTGGGAAATAACTCCATTACCTCCCGAAATGAAAAAAAAACAACAACCTACACTACACTAACGTGGTTAATGAGCATAGTAGTTGAAGTCTCTGTAAACGTCAATCAAAAAAGATAATTCTTAAAGTGGAAAAACATTATTGTGAAAATTTGTGCATCACTGAGTTAATAAATTAGTCAAAAATGCTATCTTTGTATGAAAATTTAATGATCTTACTTGTGTACCTTGTAGTAAATATTTTGTACTAAGTGTGTACCAGCGACCTTTACCAAGCAGTCTTTTTTGAAGTATATTGATTGTCGTAATATCGACGCAAGTCACCTTGCTCAGGAAGAACAGTCAAATTGAAACGAAAATTATAGTTAATTCTAATTTTTACAAAGTTAATTAAACGAGAGATATTCGTATCGTAAAAATATTTCATTACGATATTGGAAAATTATTAAACGAGGTCGTCAAACTAAGTTGGATATCCAGTCGAGTGTTAATTCATACGATATTTATTTTTTCATAAATAACTAATAATGAAATCGAAATACCATCTTTCTTAGCCTCTTCGAATTAGTCTTGATTAGTAATGTGATAATGTGAATTTCGTCTTTCAGTAGTTTTTATAATTCTTAAGTTCCACAAAATGACGCATTGATCTCACGCTTTGCGGCAGGTCAGAAGAATCGACCTAGACCTTCAGACATCAGACCATTCGCCAGAAAATCACTGATAACATAATTGAGAGATAGTATCACTTTTTTTTCTTTTTCTTTCGTCGATTGAAGAATCCATAAATGATCTATCCTTAAGTCTTACAATGACGTAATCCAAAGAAGTCTCCTCCGAATTTAATAATAGTTAGCAATATTGTATTTTGCATAGCAAGATGTGGAAATCCATTGTTGTAGTACGTAAACATTATCCTCAATAGGAAACAGTGTATTTTCAGAAAAAGGAGTTTTTGCAAGTCTTACAATCAGAAGTATACGTTGAATCTAGGAACTAATTGGAACTGAATATACCTCTTGACATGATCCTAAAGCTTTTATTAAACATCTGTGTATCTGATTTGCTTTTATAAGCTGTAAAACGTATAATACATGAAATCTGATGGTATCATACGAATATTTATCTACAACAATAACTATAGCTTCCTAGATGGTCTTAAAATGTAACCCCGCAATTTTAGTAATTCACATTTGTATTCTTTACATTGGGAATGGGAAATGTATGACAATTTTAACACCATGTGTATAAATCACTAATTTTTCAAGACCATCAATGTAGCCTCAATTACATAACCTCTAGCCCTAAACATTTACAATAGTTTATTTGAATTAACTTGAGAAATATTAACCATTAAGTTCTTGCCATATTATATTAGTACTTTGTATATTGCATTTGTCATTTTTTCCAAGCTCACTGTGCGTTAGTGATAGCGACGAAAGTCGTTAAGTGTAAGTTTGTCGTAGACGACAAAACAGAATAACGAAACCCATCGATCAAATCCTGTCTTTTGATGCCGGCGCATGCGCAGTACGAATTCTCCCCAGAATTATCGTGTTACGTCTTTCAAATCCTCGGCTTCCGAAAACTCTCTATTAGGTCAAGGGTGCTTTTGAAATTTCGTTCAGGTGACAAATAATTACGTAACTAACACGAAATGAGTCTTCGGCGTACGTATGAAATGTTGAAGGACAAGGTGTCAAGAGGAGTCGAGACATTTCGAAATAAGTCGCACTCGTACGAGTTGCGTAAATTATTTTTTTTTTGTTTCTCGCTACCGCTTACGCAGTATAAAGTTATATAATGCGGCGCGTATATCTGCGAATTTTCGGCAGAAAAATTAGTTTGAAAGGGCCCGGGTGACGAAAAAATAGAAATGTCTAGCTGTTAAATTTAGAGGGGAAAGTCTTCTAACACGTGTAGCTAGGATCCATGTTTTATGGGTCCTTGATACCAAAAAATCGAATGACTGTAAAACGTCTGTGTACCAGTCTGTGAACAACGCTAGCGGCTAAACCGTTCAGCCGATTTTCTCCCAAAATTGATATTCTTCAATCGATCTGGCTGATGTCGCCGCCCATTGGATTTGAAACCGATGTTTTAATTTTGGGGAGTATTTTGCATGAAGCTCCTAGGACATTTAAAAAAAAAAAATTGTATCGGGTTTGATTAAATTATTGGACAGTGTGTAGGATGTTTAAGGGAATGCTGCAGGTCTCATTTTACATCTATTAAGAAGATAGGATTTTTCCCTTAATGATTCTGTTCCTTATATATAGATTTTTAAAAGAGGTCATGTACAGTGTTTCGAAAATTTGAGTACATTTTGCGTGAAAGTAAGGGCGAAAAAGTACGTGCTTTTAGCTCCACTAGTTTGAGTACTAATCCAGAAAAATTTATAAATATATAGGTACTCTTGGAATCATTCATAATATGCGATGCAATGTTTGTTCATGTCACCCAAATGCTTCCTTTTCTGCAATTGTCAGGATTTCTTTGCGGTTCGCGTACCGGGAAGTATCGCTTTACAAACAATAAAGTGAAGTACTAGTTTCCGAGCAGAAATGTTATTCATTTCACGCTGAAACGGATGGCAATTCAGAATTCTTTACATTTCTGAGATTTCATTCATGACTGAAGGTTTGGAAAAATCACATTTTGAATATTCTTTTGAATATATCGATTGAAAAATACCAGAGATAAAAATGCTAGTTTTTGAACTAAATAAAAATGGAAAAAGTTGCTTTTACGTGAATTCCAGTCCTATAACTCTGACCATAACCCCTTGTATCGTGAGAAAGCACCTGAAAAGATGTAATCCGGATTTTGTGTGTGATAAGATTTTTGCCAAAGGTTATTAATGGTTCTCTGCACAGAAAATGCACAAACAAAAATATTGCTTACTGTATAAGGGGGCAGTCCATGAATTACACTAGGACTTATTTAACCGTGCACTTGACGTAAATCAGCTGTTAAGATTTTATCTATACGGGAGTTTGAACGTCCCCATAGGAACGTCCCCATGTCACTACCGATATATAAGCTCTCGGTTGGATGAAACCGCGATATCTAATTTACGTAAAGTGCAAGACTACATAAATTGTACTAGAAGTAACGCTAAAAAGAGAACGAAGTTTGAGGAAGCATTACGCTTGGTATGGTGTGTTAGTTTAGTGCTTCTTGACGATGAAATTATTTTTTTATCAATTTACAGAAATAATTCAAAGCGAAAAAATCAAAACCAAACTGAATGTTGGAAAACTGATTCTGTGATTGCAGTAGTTCGGTAATATCAACTTCACGGACGATCTGTAAATATTTGTTTCTAATTTGTATGCTATCAAATAATGAATTTCTATAATTATTATAAATTGTATTACATAACAAATAAAATATTTTTGTTTTATAATTTCCTTATACGTCGTTGACGCGAGCGCTAATGCAGCATAAATATTCGGGAGGATGGAGTAATTAATAGAACGCATAGTGGAGCGGAGAAGGTAGAACACTTGTGCCGTACATTCACTTTCTTCACTAAATTCAGAAGAAAATTTAATTTAATTTGTGCATATTACTATGCCTTGCAGTACGGAAAATGACGTAATGGTTTTCTTTAGCTGCCAAAACATGCTTTAAACTTCTGTTTCAAAAGTTACACACCATTTAGGACTCTCCTCATTCTAGTACATCATTCATAACCTTTTTGAAGCAGGCGTGGTGATACCTATAGTGCTTTTATCACTCCCGTTCCACGTCCTGGTAGCAGTGACTCGACGCAATTTAAGAAGTCAGAATAATGAACTAAAAACAAATATATTCCTAAGCACCTACAAGTAAAAAAGGAAATGAAATAAAATTATGAAATTATGAATTATGAAAATAAAAATAAAAATTGAATTTTTTTTCTGCATATTGAACCATAGAATCTACGAAGAAAATTAATTTGTTCAGAAAATAATTAACCCTCGGATTTCTGTTGCAGATTCCAGTCTCAGCCAAAACTTCACCATGTCTCTCGAAGAGGTAAGAGAAATTCTGCACTGGACTTGCTTCTGAATAAATGCCAAAGCTGCAGAGGGGGAAAAGGCTTTGAAATATCAGTAAATTTCAATACAATGCGTTACATTCTTGTTTTTCAGTATTTTAAATACCTGTGAATGTTGGCTATATTTGTTCTCGTTTTGATGAAGATATTTCAAGTGTGTCAATAGTTTCAATCGTGCAGGCTAAATCAAACCTTTTCTTTTTTCTTGGGTCTGAGTTCTAGGGTTAATTGAAAAAAGTTCGCTTTCGGGGGGAGAGAACTCTGAAAACTTAGACTAGATCAAGTGAGGGAGATTGAATTGCTGAAAAATGAACTTTTTCGCAAGTTCAAACCACAAATGAATGCTAAAATTTATCAAAGATGCATCATGTGAAACAAATTTATTTCAAATGTGTATGTAATTGTATCAAATGTTTAATTCACTTTTTACTTTCTTGTATACTTGTGTACATTTACACGGAGTAACATACGTTATAGTATAGAGAAAGTTATGTAATGCTGCGCGACAAGACGGCGCATTTTCGCCAGAAAAACTCTAATTGCCGGGCCCTGATAACGAAAAAGTGGATAAATCCAGTTCCTAAATTTAGAGAAAAAATTATTCAGTCCAGCGTAGCCCAAATCCTTTTTTGTGGGTCCTTGATATCGAAAAATCATTTACCGGCAAAACGTCTGTCCGTCGGCAGACTTCCCTAGATACGACTTTTCTAGATCTGCATAATTCTAAATGTTTCTCAAACCTTTCTGATGCAAGGGCAGCAAAAGCCCAAGCACCTTCTTTGGGTTTTATGTCGATGGCGCCATAAATAGTATTCTCGTGGAAACGTAATCTTTTGCCAAAAACTTGCAAGAAGAAATGTCAACGGCGTTGGACAACGTTATCTGACTGCGCTATCAAGCGCTGATCTTAAAAACTACGTGTTCTGCCGGAACATTATGGCTATTTTCAAGGAGGGAACTTAATATTTTCTCGTCCATTTGAGATGTAATTGGTTAAAGTCTTTTTGTTACGGTAATTTCAGCCTGTACTCGAAGATTGCCCGTTCCAGCGAGGGCCCGCTTTCACGAATCCTCAGTTCCGTCCTTCAATATATTATTTCGTGTAGGTACTTGAACTCGGGTAGAAGACTCCTATAGCTCAGGAATCTACTGAAGATATACTAAGAGCGAACAAGTTTGATCGACAAATGCGTTTTTATTTGACTTGGTTTGCCTCGAGTTCTACAGCCTCGAGAGATTTTTATATCAGTAACACTGGAGAAATCATCTTCTGTCGTATTTACAGCTCTCGTGTCATACTCAAAATTGCTCTGTGTCAATAAACAGTTCTTTGTCGTGAAAATTCTTCTTTGACTTTCTCAGAAGTGCATGCAAACATTTTTGTCGTAAGTACGAAAATTGTTCGTCGAAAAAATTGTTAGAAAAAAGTTTGTAAATTGCTTAAATCAATAGTGCCTCGTCCAAGATCGAGAAAGAAGTGTGAAAACAGCTGAGTTTGGGTGAAATCAGAGCATTCACTGGATCCTTTTTAGTTTTACTCTTCCAAGTTTTATATCAGTCTTCGGCTAACAATTTATTCTAACTATGTAGATGGAGTACTGGTGCTGTAAAAACGTTGATTATCCTGAATATCCTTTAAAGGTTTGTCCGTGCGATAAAGAAAACCCGTAACTATGCTACTGCTAGTGATGGGATCTCCCCTTCCTCCTTGCAGAAAACAGATTGAAGACGAAACCTAATAATGGCACCAAATTCTTTCTCGAATTGATTACGAGATACTTTTAGCCTCGCAACATCTAACCGTCTAAAACTTCAGACATTAACTGAAATACTGGCAACCAAACGGAGCGCCAGAGTTTAAAAAGTGCTTATTTCGTAAAGTTTAAATGAAAATGGCTTTCAAACATTGAATTGAGTTTGTGCTCTTTTATTATTTACGGATTAGATAAAACACGAATATTTAGACCGGGAATTGTGTTACAGGATCACGCGTGCTTTCTCTGTACCATTCCTGCAGTTCCCTGACACAGTGTTTATTGGATTATAATATGTATTGTCGGGAATCGTGTGATACTTCACATTTCAATACGAAATTATGTGCAAAATACTAATTAAAAAAAAACACTGAAATGATTTGAAGATGTAATAGTGAGAAATACTTTTGTTTTAAGAAAAACCTCTGGGTTCAATATTAAATGTGCATGTCAGAAGTTTCAGTGAAAACCGGACCTGCAATTTCTATCAGCATAAAATTGCTCCATTCTAGAAGACTAAAATTGTTAATCTAAAAGATTACTTATTTATTTAACGACAAAAACAGTTCAAAACTGTGTGTAACATTCTATGGGGTGAAGTGCATTCTGTGCAATTTTTCACTTTCATAACTCATGTAAAAGTTAATTCTGAATACTGACGGAAGTTAGCATTTTTGGCAAGAATTTATAAGAAAATATTCCATCCGATGTAATAAAAACTGTTTCCAACGGCACTATAATCCCCAATCGTGCTCTTCGTGAATGAAACTTTCCACCCTGACAACATGGAGAACGATAATTCGAATAACAATATTTCTCACTGAATTTTAGAAGACATGCACATATAGTTACATTTATGTCCAGGAACAAAACTAGGGGCCAATTGGCATTCACTCAAATGAAATGAAATGAAAGGCGAAGTAACAAGTAATGTACTTCAGCTTTGGGTTCAAAGATCCCCATTTCGATCAGATCTTGCCCAGTTTCGCTGATCCATTGAGCAAATGCTAAGGCGTCTTATTTTGCTTCTGGACGTAAATGTAGCTTTACTATGCGCATTTTGTTGAATTTCTTTTGCTTGTAGTGGTAGTAGAGCTGGGGTGAATTGCTATTTTGTTAGCAATACAGTGGAATCAAATATAGATATTCCGTCACTTTCAGAAATAAACACAATATCTCAAGAGCAGCTCCATATTTTTCAACATAAATTTGGATGTATGACCCGGTTTTACTCTTCTATAACAAGCTTAAAATCATATTTCAGTTCTAGGGAGTCATAAAATCAAGACATTTTTATAAAATGTCCTTTGGGCAGTCAGTGAGAGGGTGAACCAAAACTGAAAATTCAACCCAGACTAGAGAGATTAGGAAACTTAAAAGTACGGTCTGTCCCATTCTTTAGCACTATTAGTTTGATATTCTATTACGTTTGTGAAGATTATCCCCACTTCAAACCATGGTTTCTCAGAAAGAATTGAAGGAGGGTTCCAGCACAAAGCTATTTTCACTTTTAAAGCTATGATTTACAAAGTCCATAATGTTTGCACAGATCCATGTACTGTTTTATTATTACTATTATTGTTATTGGCGTTGTTCTTGTATTATTTTTCCTTGGACTTAAAATCTCACTAGGTACTGTTTGAAAGATACAAGGACTTTTCACAATTAGTTTTCTATAACTGGAAAGGAATAAAAAATCAAACTGAATACTGAGAAAATGTTCACATTTCTTCCTTCTATTTACAAAATCTGGTATTAAAACCTTGATTCTTGCTATTTATATGGTCTGTGTGTTCTACATCCAACTTTTCTGTTTTTGGCTAATAACTTTCATTTTTTAGCTCTTCTGACAGTTTTTGGAAGGAAAAGTGGGCCTGATTACTCTCCACAAATAAATTAAAATACTGTTTACCTCCTTAGTTTGCTGTTTTGTCAAAATCAAATTATGCATATTTACAAACTCATTCACCTTTATAAGAGAGAGAAAAAGTCCTTCCTTAAAAGGATAGGATTTCAGTAATGAGAATTAGTATTACTGTCTTGCAAATTCCTATTCATGCTTGCAAAAATTTTTTAATGATCTCTAGAATTAAAGAACGTTTATTCAGTCTCTTTACATTGCCCTTTCAGCAAACAAAATATTTTGAACTTATCTTTCAGTTTTATCATCTATTGACAATTTATCTATTTGCACCTTTGTGAGCATATGAAGATAAAATGTGGTAATAGAAATTACTGCAATCCTTAGTTATATCATTTTTAGATATACATTTTTTAAGAAGTGTACAAAGTTATTAATTGTAATGGCTTTAATTCTTTTAGAAATGGATCTCCTTAAATTAAATACACAAGTTATTTTTCACAAATCATTCTTATAAATACACATAATACTACCTAACTCTTTTTCACAAAGTTTTTACCCCTTGTACTCTATTACTTTTCCATTTCTTTTACTATACTCCAAAGCTGTTGACAGCTCTTAAAGTAATCCAGTTCATTTAATTATTGTTTTTGATGATTATAGGTTTTTAGGAAATTGAAATATAATTCTTCTCAGATTGTTCCAATGTGGATGGAATAAACAAAAATTAATACTCTTGTAGATTTCAAAGGAATAAATTATTGCATATTCTGGTATTAATATTTTATAATTAAGTTTTACCAAGATTAACATTTAAAAGGAAAAGTAATGGGAAAAATCATATTAGAAAGGAACATTTCTGTACCTCTAAAGTTGGCATTCGTAAATGCCATGAGTTTTACAGGACAGTAAAGACACTTCTGATGCATCTAATTTTACCTATTTATAAAGTTGTCACCCATGATGAATAAAGTTCTAGGAGCCACTTCACCTTTTGAAATTAGTCATTCTAATTGTGTTAAGTACCTTAAAATCTGAAAAAAATCTCTGACCATAATTGGCCTTAAAAAGTATCTATTTATTTATGTTAGCTATTTGGGTTTCTACTCAGTGCTCTAATGTGATTTTGTTTAAATATCTTTTTAGCAATTTCAACAAGCTGCAGAGGATGTGAAGAAACTGGCCAAAACCCCTTCAGATGATGAACTTCTTGAAATCTATGCTTTATTCAAGCAAGGCACAGTTGGTGATGTCAACACCGGTATGACTTAGCATTTTGCTCTTCATTGTACTGTCAAGTGTACTTGATACACGAGGGTAGATCTTGTCACAAAATCAAAATAAATTTCAATAAATGTTTATCCATTAACTGGATTTGTTATCAGTTGTATCCATTTGCTATCCAAATGCCTCTGTGAACATAGGAGATTAATATTGTTTCATTCTTTTGAGAATGCATTGTTCTGCTTTCATGAGATAATATAGCTTGTGAATCTGTAAGGTATAAATCTGCTTCAAATGTTATCTGGGTCAATGCTCACTATCCACTCTCTTACACATTAAATTCTTTAAATACAGCAACATCAATAGTCTGCGTTAGCATATAAAAACTGTATTATTTAGTACCAAATCTCTAATCTTGGTGAAAAGTTTTATGTTCACCTTTTGATTTATAACATTTATTTAGCTTCGTTACTTGTAAAAACTCTCCATACTGTAGGCTGATATAGTTCTGCTTACTTTGAATATGCTATTTCTTTTCAAGGGTGTAATTTTTCAAATTAAATGAGTGCACCCAAGACAGCTGATTGTTGTAGCAGTCTTTTTTAAATAATAAATTCTATTACAATGTACACATTATTGAAAATGTAAATGCCTCATATTTAACATTTCCACTTGTTTACAAAACACTAATAATATGAAAATTAAACTATCTGTGAAGAGAAAATAAACGAAATTATTTGGAGCCTTTTATTTTAATTGTAGAAACAGTACAGGAACTTATGGGTTTTATAATATTATCACCTATATCTTTATTGGTTGGAAGTTTTTTTCATTGCAGTTCATTATGATATTAAATTATTATTTCAATTTTTCTGTAAATGGCAAATTGATATTTTATAAAAATTAATTATCTTTGTGAGATATTAACGTTATCATAATGGAAGCTCAGTACACGTATATTGTGATTGAAGTTTGTATGATTTGTTTTTTGTTTTTATTGTTGCAGCTAGACCAGGAATGTTGGATTTCAAAGGAAAGGCCAAGTGGGATGCTTGGGATTCAAAGAAAGGCATGTCAACCGATGCAGCTAAAGAGGCTTACATTGCAAAAGTGAAGCAGCTGATAGAAACATATGGAAAGAACTGAATTATATCTCTGTAAGAAGTTTCTCTGTTGTGAGAAATGGGGCACATCCTATTACTGTGTACACAAGTGTGAATGCTCAATTATATGCAACTTAAATACTGTATAGAAAATGCCCAACTTTACTGTTTTTGGATTTTTATAATATCTTGTACTGGCAAGAAAAATTAAACTATTGAATAAATCTTTTTTTAAAGTTTGTATTCTTTTTTGTCTGAAAACCTTAATAAATCTACCCATGGAAATGCATTAGAAAACCTCCACCATTGTAGGATTAATGAAAACATTGAAACTGCATTGTGACATTCAAAACTTAAAATTTCAGGGGCAGAGAATGCCACATGGTAAAACCATTCAGGTGCTACAAATCTCTCCAATTATTATATTGTAATTTGACACTATTTTTTCAAAACAATATCACATATTCATTACATCGCATTTCAAAGTAGTATTTCTATTATGAATGCTAATTTTTTTTAAGTAAAGCAAATTATTTTTTTAGTCTACTTTCGAAAGTATTTAGGGGGAGGAACTGATCACAGTAAACCCCACTGACATACTTTCTGGATCAATACAGAATTGCAGGCACTGCTCCTACATTTTGTATGTATTCTGAAAGTTACTTCCATTGATAAATGCTGTGCTAAAGTTTTTGGTAATACAGTGAAATCTGTCTTAAGCTGGAATCGATTGGGACAAAAAAGTTCTGGTTTAGGGAGGTTTCCATTTTATGTAGGGTTGTCCATATAACAACAAAAATACTGATATTTCTGTTTGCGAATAGTAAATTAATGTAAGAAAAGAAGTAGTTAAAGTGATGATTACATGATTTTATTATGATTATTAAAGTACATTTACATGTAACGTATTTATGGAAGAAATTACCAATAAACAAGTATTAAACATTCATTGACAGGTTCAGAGTTTCTCTTGCTTCCATATGTTGGTCCTTTTCATCTAAAATTAGAGAATGTTAGAATTGTATAGTTTTCGCTTTGTTTAACTGGTTGTGAAAAACAAATACACACAACCGCACTGCCTATTGGCTAAACTCTGACCGATTGTTGACTTTCAATGCACTTAGTGTCAGCCCAGAGTACTATGAATTATGTATGATTGTGAAGTACGAATAGAAGACATGCTCGTACACCTTCCCAAGCTCAGAGGAGGGGGAGGAAATCTCCCTCCCCCCAGCTTTGAAGGCTTATGCATCGAGAGACAAATGACTCCTAGGTCAAATTCTGCTGAATCCCCTCTCCTTCACAGTGCGATTGCAGCAACTAAATCGCGTGGGATAGAGAATTTAAAGCAGACTTGCAGATGCATTCATTACATTAAGAATATCTTTCGTCGCTGGATTAAATTCGCAGGAAGTCCATTTAATAAAGATATTTTCTCCCTGTGGGGCATGAGAAACTTTTCCGTTTCCACATTACACAGATTCTGTTTTTTGTTGTGTAAAACACCATACAACATTGTGGGCCAGTCAACATTCCAAACTTCTTAATTAAAAAGCTTGCTCTACCATATCATCAAACCATTAAGATATTTATACAACCAATCACTAACTCATGGCTTCTTCCCAAACATATTCAAAACTGCAGTAATTAAACTTATCCACAAAAAAGGTAACAAACCAGATGTAATGAATTATAGACCTATTTCATTCATCAGGATCTTCACAAAGATTAGAAAAACTCTTCTATGAAAGGTTAAAAAGCTATCCGATTTGCTGTAACATTATCACTAACTCCCATTATGGATTTAAGGAAAATTGATCAACTGAAACAGCTATATTCACTTTTGTAAATGAAATTCTCATGGCATTGGAGCAAAAGGAAATTTCTGTGGGTTTCTTCCTTGACCTGTCAAAAGCCGTTGACACAATAGACCATAGAATTCTATTATCAAAATTAGAATGTTATGGAATCCGGGGAATTGCTTACAAGTAGATAAAATTATATCTAACAGACAAAACAAATACCAAAAAGACAACAAAATAAAAAATCAACTCTACAAACCAACAGATGTGACCTATAGGAACCCGCAAGGACCCACACTAGACCTGATTTTATTTTTTAAATTTGCAAATGACCTGCCATTAAGAATGGAAAACAATAAAACTGTACTCTTTGCTGATGACACTAATATAATATTCAAAAAAAGAACAACCAAAGCTTTACATGATAAAGCCAATTCAGCCGTTGACAAACTAATTCAATGGATCTCCGAAACAAACTAATCCTAAACAGAGACAAAACAATCACAATGTCCTTCCACAACTCCCACTCAACACAACAATACTCGCCAAATTCAACATTAGAAGGCAAAAGTATCACACAAGCTCAGAAAACATTTCTTGGAATCACCATACAATCCAACCTCAATTGGAACTCACACTTCGATATTAATTCAAAATTGAGCAAATTCAATAATGCACTTAGAGTAATAACATGAAACAGCACTTTTGAAACGTGTACTTCACATATGAGCACTATATTCTCAAATACAGAATAATAATTTGGGCCAAGCACCAGAGGCCGAGTAAACATCCAAAATGCAAAAGAGAATCATCCAGACAAAATAAATACAAATAGAACAGTCCTGAAGATCTCAAATCAAAAATTCTAACATACTTCCACTGCCTTGTATATGCATATTCATATTTCTCATCTTCATAAACAAAAATTTAATAAGCAATGGCACACCTCAAGTTTAACTCAAGCTTACACTCTTACAACACAAGGCAAGCATTTAAACTTCACCAACCATTGTGCACAAGTACATTATACCAAAAGAGTATATTCTTAACAGGAATACAATTCTTCAACAAATTACCAATACAACTGAGAAATGTAACAGGATGAGACAACTTCCAAAATAAATTTAAAAACTTCTTTGGGAAAAAACTTTTTATAATGTTCAGGACTACCTCAGGAACTAATATGTGCAATCTGATTTCAGTACTTCAGTAGGACTAGGTATTGAAATAGACAAAACCTAGCCAAAACCTGCCTCCAAATCCTCACCATTTCAAGATCCAAACATTGAATGAACTAATATTGTTAAATGATAAGTACCATAGTTACCATAATTGATATCAGGTACTATATTATTATTATATAAATGATAAATTATATAAGCTACACCGAAATTGATATCATGTATTATTATTATTATTATTAT